CAGATACAGTAAAACAAGTTTCCTACTTTATCGTAGAAGAGCAGGATGCCTCAAGCAACCCGCTACGCCTCGTGTCCCGGGAGCTCGGCCCAAACCGGATGGCCAGCCCTGTAGGCTGTTAGGAGACCAGCGGCCATGCAGTGGAGCCACAGGCTACAACCAGCTACATTTGTCTGGAATCTTGCGGCATTGTGGTTTAATTGCTGAATCTATGCCGAACACCATGAGAAAGCTTAGTTCAGTGCTGCTGGCCGCTGCCGTGCTGGGGGCAGCCCACAAGGTGGAGAGCGGCGACCCGAATGAAAAAGGATCGGCTGGTGGGCGGAAGAAAAAAAATACAACAGAATAATCTCATCTTGGTTTGTATGAAGAAACATTTCAGAGATGCTTGCAACGGTNAAAAAAAATACAACAGAATAATCTCATCTTGGTTTGTATGAAGAAACATTTCAGAGATGCTTGCAACGGTTGATGTGTTTTTGCTTCTGTGCAGCCCCCGCCGACTGCCTTGCCGACTTCAATGCCGCTCGAGAACGAGCAGGCCTCGAAGCCTTCATTGCAGAGACGGACGCAACGAAGAAACTGCCGACAGGGGAAGAAAAGTATATCGCAGCTATTTGCTCTGCCATACAGGAGGCAAGCGGCCCTCACTTTTCACATACTGTCCCTCTGTGCTTGTCTGCATATATGCGTTTATGTTCGGCACATAATGTGGCCTAAATGGGGCTGAACACATTGGCTTGCTATTCGGTGAACTCAGGGAAAAGCATCTGAGATTACCGGGGTAGATGTCAAGCGCGAAGGCACCTATGCCTACGCGCCGGAGACAGGCCCTACCTCTGGCTGCTCTTCAGCCGTCTCCTATTGGAAAAAAGCCTACGTAAACTTTGGCGAACTCCCGCCCGAATACAAGGGAGACGAGGATGTGTATGCAGAAAGCCGGAACCGCTCGCTCGTGGCCCTGTACAACCCCAACAAGGGCGCCACAGTNAGGATGTGTATGCAGAAAGCCGGAACCGCTCGCTCGTGGCCCTGTACAACCCCAACAAGGGCGCCACAGTTGACTGTGCCTACATCACTTGTCCAGTCTCCACCACGACCACCACTACCGTTGCTACCTCTGCAGGATCAACTGATAAGGAGGAAGAAGATGATGCAGACGGGAGCAAAGAGACCGTTAACGGCTTAGGCGGCGAACGAGAAACTGGGGGCCCAGCGAGCTCGGGAGAGCAGCCAAAGACCGGGCCGACAGTTCGGCGCCTCTCGACTCCGTCGGAGACGGTTACTGGCCTCGTTTGCCTCACTAATCCTGCAGCACTTGAAAATGAAAAAAAGCCTTTTTCGTAAGTTTTTGGGAATATACAGTCTTATCTTCGTCGTGATCGTATCTCCTCCTCCAGTGGTGTTTGCCTTGCTCGTTGCACGTTCTCTCGAAATGTCTCATCTGGTAATCCTAGTTACGTTTCCTGAGTCAGGCTCATCCGAACTGTCTTGAAGGTGTTTCCACGCGGGGTTTTCCACTTATTAGTTGGGTGTTGTGGTCCGACGTGTTGTGTTGCGATGATCGTGTTGTTGGTTCTAGCGGTCACCTCAAAGTGCTGCGTAGAGCCGTCAACTTCGTGCTGTTTCCCCTCGTCGTGTGGGTCGGTATTCGGTATATGCCATTTTAGTATTGATCTTTCGCCCTCCTGTAGCCATGCACGAAAATCCCCCCTTCCATACGGTTTTGTTTCGCTTTCTTTTTTCTTCCCGTGTGCCTACTCGTTCCTATTGATTCCATAGCGCTACTAATTTTGTATTTGCCTGCTTTCCCTGCTGTAGTGTAGGGTAACTTTGCTGTTATGTGTTTTTTTTCGCTCTTTTGTATATTTTGGGCTTTTCCACAGCGAAGAAGTTTGGGCAAACATAAAGGAAGCCATAGAAAACTCCGCTTCGGCCTACACGCAATCTGCTCTCCTTGCTACGGCTTTACTTCTGCTCACCTCTTTCATCATTCTCTAGCCATTCAAGAGAAGGTAACCCCCTCGAGACTTTTTAACCACAGCTACCAGGGGTATGTAGGGGGATCTGCAGTCTCCTCAGTGTTTGCAGAGCAAGGAGAAAGGATATGCGCCTTTGAACCGTTAGACTTGGTCTCTGCAGAGGGAGACAACATGAAACAAAACGTCGCCCAGCGACCTGCATTTTATCCAGCACCCATTGCATATATTTTTGCGCTTGCGCATTCCTCTCTTCAAACAACTGAGCCGTTTTAAATGCCGCTCAAGTTTACAGTCCAGACATTAAACAATGCGCGAGAGGAGGCAAATTTTGGATTAGGAGCCAAGCAGAAACGCAGGGAGTGTCTCCTCAATGACTACTTCAGGGCATACATGGCCATGTTAGACCTTACCAGTTTTTCTGTGTACCGTTTAGAGAGAAAAAAAAAGGTCCTCAGAAACCTCGTACAGAACTAAGTGACCACAGCGCAAGATATACAACCTCCCGCACCTCCATGCGGAAGCACAAAACATAGGCCAGGCGGATGGGATCACGTTCAGGCGGTTGTTTTTTCAGCATAGTGCGCCACTTTCGGCCAGGGGGTCGCGGGCAGGTTCGATTCCCATGAAAAGTTGCGGTGGCTCTGCTGTACGCTAAATTGACTGTGTTGTACTGAAAGTACCGCTGTCTATGCTTTGCAAAAGTATCCTCCAATCGGCTAAAGACCAGATTGCGAGATTAAGTGGGTCCTGGCCCAATGTGGAACTGCAAGGGCAGAAGATGATGTATCCCCGTGTTGTCGCATCACAGCGTGTTACACATCACCCCCCCTCTTCTCTTTACCAAGGAGGACCGAGGCTTGCAAGAGCGTAAACAAGGTTTCCATACCGCCTTCAATCCTCATTGACGTTTTTTCCCCTTCAGCTATGGTAAAAACTGCTCATGTTTGCTGCTGTGAAACAAACTACCGCTCCTAGACTGGAAACGGTGGCACTACTGTGGGTTAACACTGAAATTTGTGTCAATTATGCCCCCAAAATTTACTTCAACTGAAGTCGAGCAAATTTTCGATACCCTCTTAGAAGGATCGCATGCTTTGAC